AAAAATAAGTGTATCGTAAAGTTATATTCGGAAAGAATAAACCAGTTTTATTAAGTAAATACTTGTGTCGCTAAAGTTTCGTCGGAACGAAGTTACGGGAAGTTAATTAACAAACGGAGACGTAACAGTATCATAGGCGCCGTAAAAGTGCGTTTTCTTGAAGTATTGCCTTTTCCTCCACAGCAAAATTTTCTAACTAGGATTGGATTTATAGAAGCCAGTCCTGAAAAGGACCACATCTTAGCATGCTTAAACCAAAAAACTTTCTGATTTTGTTAAATAATAATAATTCACGATATTTAAATTAATAAATTTAACTTATTTAAGATGATTAAATCAGTCACGAATTTTTTTTCTCGCGTTTATACTTTTAACTCGATAATCTTGGAACAGCCTTGTGCATTCGTCATTTATTGACATATATTCTCGTTCCTGTATTCGACAAGCTCAAGAAGTAGCAGTTACCAACAGGGTGCTTGAAACTCCTTTCGTCATATTTCCTGATCTCCACAAACACAGCTTCTCGTGATGTACCGAGACGCTCCACCAAGTTAGTCTAGCATTAAACATCTATGTTTCTAATTAAAACCTCCACCCCTGTTAGTACAACATCTTCCATATTTACGTGACATGTAATCTTAATTCATACCAAATTCGGGGCCTAAAAGATATATTAACTTAAATAACTACCACGAATCTGATGGTGATAAACAAATGTATATAACATGGACATCTCTATGGAATTGCTTTTGCAAACTGACGGAGGCTACACTAATAATTTAGTGGACTTAGAGAAAGCGAATCGTTTGAGAAGTTGTGAGTATGAGTTTTGCTGGATATAATTTAACTTTACACATTATTATTGTTATCCTTAATCAAGTATTTTCAAAGTGCTTCACACATTCAAATATGATAAATAAAACTTAAAAGACAAAATAATACAAAAGTCAATACATAGTAAAGATATTAAAAACGTTCATTACGTTTTATAATATTGGAAATCAGTTAACTGCTAAAGAGAAAAAATGAGTTTTGAATGACAATGTACATAACGCATCTAGCCAACGAATACAGTCTGTGTGTTATTGTTATATATTTTAATTGGTTTAAATGCTGATTGTGCTAGAGACTATGTAGCTACTATAATGGCTGGAGACGGCTTAAATGGGTAATGAAGAAAACTTTAATATAAG